GATGCATTTGAGATATCAAAAAAGTACTCCAGAGTGTTGTTCAGCATGGGGGTGAGTAGAAAATGAGGGCTAATCATGTTTTGGTTGTACTATTCCTTTAAGTCAATCCATCAATCAATACAAGCTCCAAAGCAAAGCAACATAGAAGAAGCCTGGTCTCCTCTCTCTAAACAGCAGAAACATCCTCATGTTGAATATAAAAGCTCGTTAGAGCTTTAATAATGGGGATATGAGCTCTTAATATATAGAGGATGCCTGTTCTTGGAATGATTACAAAATATAAAAATCTCACCAACATGTTTTCCAATCGTACAACATCCCAGTAAATATCAGTGAGGTCTGTAGTGGGAAAAGACGTTAAAGTGAGTGTGAATACTTTTGGCAGCGACTTTACGTGTTCAATGTTATCCATTTCATGCCAACTTATATGAATGGTCTGCCTCTTGTATTCCAGGTACAACACTGAAACTCTGAGTGATCAGAAAGATTTAACCTTAATGTGCGCGGTCACACAGACACACTTAAACACCTGCATGCGACCAGTACCACAGCCGTCTCTCCCAGATCATTTTTTTTACTTTTGTTTGTTGCTACTGGTTTTGTCAATAAACCACAAACCACCAAAACAACACGCTGTGTCTTCAATCATGAGCGGAGGAACTCGAAGCATCTTTGCTATTTGAGTCTCCTTGTTTAGAGATTGTTCCAACTCTGGTGGATTATTTGCTTCTTCATTGTGTGTCTGGACTCACTCACCTCCTATTCTCTTCTCCCTGCCTTTCTGCACCTATCCATAGCTACAGGAGTACTACAAGAAGCAGCAGGAGCAGTTGCATCTCCAGCTTCTGACTCAGCAACAGCAGCAGCAGCAGCAACAGCAGCAGCAGCAGCAGCAACAGCAGCAGCAGCAGGCCGGGAAGCAGGCGGCAAAAGAGGTGAATTCTCACTCAGCTCAAGCACACTCAGAAGGAGAGAAGTGCCTTTAAATGCTGTAGAGTGGTGAATGTGAGAGAGGGAGGAAAAAAAGGGCACAAGGATGGAAAATATGGAATAAAGATGCAGTAGGTTACTGTTCTTCTCCTCCAATTTTTTCTATTTTAATGTTGGTCGGAGCACAGATATGAATCCTAAGGCCTGATCCTCTCCACATCCATGTGATTTTAATTCACATTAGACCTCACTCCTCACTACATCAGTGATAACTAAAGGTGACCAACCCTCTTCAGCTGTGTAGCTGTCCTAATAAGGTTTTTTCATCTGCAGCTAAAAAATAGCTTACCAAATATATTTTTATAGATAGACCAGTGCTTCATTTTTTTTCTCGCTTTCTCACACATTCTCAGACTCACACAGGTACAATATGCAAAACTACTCAAACTCTTGCAGGTTTAACAGACACTGTGGTCCTAGGCTGCAAATCAGTCTAGAAAATATGAAAACAAACACTCCTACCGGCATTTTTACTCTTAAAGCTACAGAGAAGCAATTCAGCATTATGCATAATTCTTGTATCATAAACTCCTGATTAGCTGACGATCTGAGTCCTGATTATGTGGCAGTCCAGGCTACTGGGGTACAGTTAAGGCTGGTTTATGCTCAGAAACCAGGTCGTCTTCATGTGTGTCGCACGTAGATATGCCCCACCCCCTCCGCAGACACTCTGGTGCACCTCTCCAAAAACTCCAAATTTACATTGGTTCTACATAGGGGTGTAAATCACACCCATCATGGCGATTCGATTCAGTATCGATTTCCTGACCCAACGATTCGATTATTTTCGATACTCAAGAATACACCACGACACGATTCAATTCATTTAATTGGTTCATTTTTTTGTTTTTTACCTTACAGGCTAGGCAATGTTTCAAATTTGAAATTTATCAATGAAAGCTGTAATATCGTTATGCATTTTATTTGAGAAGCAACAGCAAATAAAGGAGTAGAAAAGTGGTACTCCACCTATTCCTATTAAAACATCATTCACTGACAAATAATAATGCCCCTACGTTATAGATTCTGAAAGGCCTTGCATCAAAAAATACTGCACAAAATCAGTGCAATGAGTGCAATGAAATACCTCAGCTCAAGACGTCCCCGCTCCCTCCACAGACACTCAGCTGCTCCTCTCCCAAATTGTAGCTGCCACAGACAGGAGGCCGGCTTGTTTTGTTTTTACGACCGAAATTGCGGAAAACAACTTGTGAAGTTTGACCCGCTAGAAGAGTGAGGTGCGCGAGAACGCTGGGACTCTTTTTTTCATCTGGATCACCGCTCTTTTTCACCCTCATGTCCCTCCGTTGTCGCAAAAACTTGCCCCCACTTCCTCACCGCCTCGGCCATATCTAGACCCATAGCTAGTTCATGATTCTCCCTCTTGCGTTGTGGCGTGGAATAACATAGCGCAGACATATCTGCGACAAGCTCACTGCGACACACTGCTGCAGAAGTATAGCCAGCCCTTAAGACTGATTGTATTGAACTGTGACACACAAAGGAGAATCTGGATCATTCAGACATAATTAACCAATAACACCTGTAAGGTAGAGAACGGTAACATCATATATGTGTTTAATTGTGATTGTAATGTTATGGTGATGATACTAAGAAGAAACAGGAAACACTTCAAGAGAAAGAGCCTCTGAGAGATTGAAGAAGAAACACATCCTCATATTTGTACTCCTCCTCTCCCTGTGGACAGAGCCCCCCACCCCCCCACCCCACCTCAGCCCACATGCTCCTCGCTGACAGCGGGCAACCGACTCAACCGTGACCAAAGCAAACCAGTTGTGGTTGACTCGCATGTTGAGCGGGTGTCTGAATGGCTTTCCCGTTCTCCCCCCATGCTCCTCCGCTGTCCCAGTTTTCAGGTTGCTTGTCCTGTAACAATGAGACAAGTGCAAACGCTGGTCACAATGCCACGCTTACACGCAGACAGAGAGTGAGAGGCTTGATGCGTGACGCTTCACACATACACCTGAGGGAATATGGCTCCCCGCAGAGCTGCGAGTAGCTGATGTGGCCGAGGTCGCCGGGTGTGAGCTGCTGACATACTGCGCATCAATAATCAATCGTCTTCTGACATGCAGTGCGCTATAGATGCTACGATACGTTATTTGTTGTTTTACATTTATTATGCTTCTTTCTCTCTTAACCTGTTAACTGCTCACAAAAAAAAAAACACCCAAAAAGATTATGAAGATCTTGGAAAAGCAGAAATTAAATCCATAATCTAGCCTGCCCTATACAGCCGTAGGGCTGATGGACAGTAGCCTTATTAAGGCTGCAAATTTGGAGCCGCCACATACGTCCTGTATACGGTCAGTAAACGGGTTAAGCTCAAGCAAGCTTGGATGTAAATCAAACAAAGAGGAAAACTGATGGAGCAAATCTATGAAGGAAAGAAGAAAAAACTCCTCCCACTAACTTTTGGAAGTGTTTGTACATCAGTGACTATGACTTTTTGCCCTTTTCGCTCTCAGCTGCAATTTCTTTTTCAAGTCCAAGGCTTTGTGGAAGCGATGCATTGAAAGGAAAACGATGTATGTGCACGCCGAGTGTGTCGCCTGAGCATTTGGGACTGGTCAGAAGTCAGCTTAATGAAGTGACTCTGACCGTCACAAAAAGATGCGTGCCTTGGTATGTGCGTGTCGGCGGGTTGTCCATCTCTTTGTGTGTGCGTACATGTATGCTTCTGTGTGACTGGCAGGCTCAGACAGTGTGTGATGTGCTCATAAATCACATTGACAGCCTGTTACTGCGCTAGCTTTGGCCACTCAGCCACAGCTAATGTAAACAGAGCCCAGGCACACACACACGTTCATCGGCTCGGTGTGTGTGTTTTAAAGAACTGTGGCCATATCTCAGGAGACAATGAGAAGGAGGGGTGGGGGGTGTTGGACAGACAACTTTGAAAATGAGGGCCTTGGAGAGAGAAAGAGAGAAATGTAGGAATGAAACAGATCTAATCTGCCAGGACCTTCTGATCAACAGTTTATTTCGACAACAATAGTCTAGTAATTCAGTTTAAAAGATTGAATTTTTCTTAGCATGACAAAGATCATCATACCTGCCTGAAGTGATAATTCACTAAGTACTGCACAGTAAATCTCTGGTGGTGACAGAAAAAAACAAATCAGACAATCTTATTTTCAGAGTACTAATAAAGAAAATAACCTCTAATTTGTTCATTAGCTGGTAGTTTTCTTTTTTAGATCTTCACACCTTCTTCTTAATCACCTCACTCAGAAAAAAACTGCAACGATTCATAGAAATTGAAAGAAAGAAATTCATAGAAAAAAAGAAGATTCAATGAATATAAATAAATGAATGGAACCACTATAGAGGATTTTGGGTGGATCGTGAGAAAGATGAGCTCATCTGAAGCGACATATGAAGAAATGAAAGCCTTCTGTAGGAGTTTCTCTGTGTAAACTAGGATTTGCAGGATCATTTCAGTTCCACCTTAACAAACAAATGTTTAGAGCTCTCGGTGAATAGAGTCCTCATGCAGGGCAAGGTTGGCTTTAAACATGCTGTCGATGTGCAACAAATCAAACTGTGACGTTAAATTATCCATGCAAAGAATATGGTGCTGGTAGTCGTCCTCCGCCCACCTCCAGCTCTCACATAAACACACCGCTACCACACTTTTCCTCCCCGGGCACCAAGTCTGAGAGGAAACGACCTGTTTGCCCTTCCTGTGAGTTCTTCTCTGTTCAAAGACTTCCAGGCTGCTACTCTGTTTCAGGCACAATGAGAAGTTATATTTATTTATTTTTTTAGCTCGCCAGTTATCGCTGGGTGACAATGTATAACGCTCTTAGGGGTTTAGCTGGTGTGGGGTCAACTTGGGGTGATGGTTGGGGCAAACGGTACAGGTCTGCTACAGACTGACACAGCAGGAAAGGGGGCATTTAATCACCTCGACTCATACACAGGCTTTATCACCAAATTCCATGAAGTCTTCTCCCCTGTCATTTTAAAATCCTTTAATACTCGTATCTTAGTTCAACTTCCTTGGATTGAAATACTCATTTTTTCTTTCTGGTAAAAGGTGATGATGTCTCGCTTTGTCTTAAAGAATCAGAAAATTAGTCCACATGTTTCTTATTGAAAGCATGTTTTAACAGGAAACAGTCATAACTCTTAACTGATTTTGCATTTTTTTTGACATAAAAACCTGCAAACCTTAATGTATTTTTATGACTTTTATCTGATATGAGATTTTTTTTACAACATAGTGCATAACAGCGACATGAGAGAAAACTCTTACAAATACGGCAACATCTGTGGCTGTTTGCTAAAGTGAGGGTTATTAGGGAATATTAATGTGTATCAATTCAATTCAGTTTGCTTATATAGGTCCAATTCAAAACACATGTCATCTTAAAGCACTTTACAGAGACAATACTGTCAGATCTTACAGACAGGTTGGTTCAGTTTTCTACCCAAGGAAAATCTGCTGACTGCATCCAGTCACTGCCTTTGCAGGATTTGCTTCTCCTGAATGAGTATTTGGAGTCAGCGTTCCCTTACATTTTACCGTTGACCTTACAGCAATCCCTCACACCAAGCATGCATGCAGTGACTGTGGACAGGGAAAGCTCCCTTTTAACAGGAAGAAACCTCCAGCAGAATCAGACTCAGTGTTATCGGCCATCTGGGGGTTCAAAGAGACAGAATCAAACATGCAAGAGGAACATAGAAGCATTGATTGTGAGAAAGTGGTTAAAATATCAGAGGAATCTGGAACCAGTGGCTGCTGCTTTTTTATTTATTTTTGTTCCCCTTGCTGATCCTTGACCAATCTACCTCACATTGATCCATTGATGTTAGAACAGGTAACTGTAACCTAGCTCCACAGGTGGCTCTGTCTAGGAAAGCAAAATATCAGCAGATGAGCTCAGAGTCAATTTTTCATGTCAAAAAGGATGAAAGAGAGAACATCTAGTTAGTCACAGTAAAAACTGAGCCCATAGTTATATCTAAGAGAGAAACAGGACTAAATGCTGAAAAAAAACAGGCCCAACTCAATGATCTATGATGAAAGTTGTTGATGGCACCGGCCTAGCTGATACAGTACCTTCCCCTAGGATGTTCTCACACCCAGACAGGACCAGGCCTGATGAAGGTATGATAAGAAAAACAGAGAGCATTAAGTTGGGATTTAAATGAGCAAATTCTGCAGAGTTGGAGAATAGGGGTAGAATGTTTTCAGAGGGAAAAAAGAGGACCTACAGTAGCACCCTTTTAAAATGGCCCTTCACAGTCAAACGCCAGCCGAATGGCAGCCCACTTCCCTCCAACTATCAGCCACTGGAATGACCCCCTCTTTGCATATTTTTTTACTCTGACTTCACCTTTTCACTGAATTAGTCTGACAAGGAGATGACACTTCTCTTTAGATCTTAATGTCCACAAATTATTACAGAAAGTATATTTTAGTACAAAGGTTGATGTTTAAAAACGAATTGTAGGGGACCAGCCAAGGGCCCATCAAGGAAAGTGGGGAAATGTTGAATGGCTACTACTGTATGTCCTCCAGCAGTCTAAGCCTATAGCAGCATAGCTATAGATATTGCTCATTATAACCCAAGCCCCTATAACTATAAGCTTCATCAAAAAGGAAAGTTTTAAGCCTAGTTTTAAAAGTAGACAGGGTGTCTGACTAAAACTGGTACAGTAGCTGGTTCCACGTGAGAGGAACTTGATGACTTAAATATCCACCTCCCATTCCACTTCTTCAAAAAGTTGGACACAGTCTAGGTTACCCATAGCTGTTTGCCAGAATGGTCCAGTCAAAGTCTACAATGCTTTCTGCATTGAAATAAAACGAAAAGACTGAATGCAAAAAAGGGTTTTGAATACTTTTTTCAAGGTATTGTAAGTAATTTTGGTGTACAGCCTGTGACCTTCGCTTCTCCCTGTCTGACAGCAGCTCGGCAGTAAGCAGCTGGCCTTCCAGCAGCAGCTGATCCAGATGCAGCAGCTTCAGCAGCAGCACATCCTCAACCTCCAGAGACAAGGCCTGGTTCCACTGCAGCCCACCGCCGCCATGCAGTCTCTTCAGCAAGGTACGTGCAGGCATGAGCATTACCCAAACAAAACCTGCAACAGGACACATCCTGACAAACTTGGGCCTAAGTAAACACAGGCACAGGGCCTGTGCCCAGTACGGCCTGTTTAGTTAATCAGCCTATAAAAGATTAAAGGACACATGAATGGTGGGTTTATGGAAAGAACTCATTTAGATAATAAGTAAAATATGGCACTAAGCCACTCTGCTTAGAGGTGCATGCATGTGTGTTTGGTGCTTGAGATTATCCAGACACAAGAAAATCATCTTTCTGCTTTTCTTTTGCCAACTGTTTTGTTGTTTTTTTTTTTGGTTTTTTTTGGTTTTTTTTTCCTACATGGAACTTCTCCCACAGTCCCTTCGACTTCTCAGCAGAGTTTCAGGGCGATAAATGTTGACTGCTGCTGGCCCGCCCTTGGTGAAAAAGTGTGTGTTGCCCCGTTATTGTGTGCGCGCTTGCGCGGCAATGTTTCACACATACTTTTGAGCGCTATCTCACTCACAGAGAATGCCTTAGGGGCTCTAAAGTGGCCGTAACATTGCTAAAGCGCTGACTGAGTTGACCAAACAGACCCATTTCCTTCCCTCTGTTTTTGATCTTTCACTTTTTCCCCCCTCATGCAGACTCGCATGGATTCACTCAAAAAGAAACACACACACATACCTAACAAGGTTAAACCGCCAAATTATTGAAGATTTGGAAAAGTTAATTTCCAAACCAGAGGTCCCCCAGAGGACAAGTGGATTCGTTCGTACAAAAAAAAAATATTTATAAGTGGGTAAGACTTGAGGACTGTCCTGTTAAAAAAGAACAATTTTTCAGGCAGTTGCAAACGTTTGGCTTCGGCGTCTCCTTCTCTTTCTTTTCGGTCCCTCTCTGCATCAGACTGGAATTTCCCTGCAGTGTGAAAGAGCTGGTCCATTGTGACAGCTCAGCCAGGCGTGAGCCAGAGCATTCCTCTGACCAGCCATGGCTCACAAACACACAAACACGCACGCATAAATACACACACCCCTGCGGCCCTGCCTCAAAAGCTGTTGTTTTCTCTGAATAGGTAGTATGGGGTGCCATGAGGGGTCCAGCTAAGGCTCATGTTTATTACTTTAATGAGATGAAAGGTCCCAGGAAAACCCACCTCTGACCAAAACAAGATTAGATTCTCCATTTATCTGTCCATTATACTACCAAAAATTCAATGATTGATACATGGTCGTCCATAGAGTAAAAAACCTGTTAAAGATTGCATTTTGAATATCTCCAGCTTCTCTTTGAAGACATCATTTTTTTGTTTCAGATTTAACATCAATAAACAAGCATAAATTATGGCAACCAATAACACAACAGACAGGTTGGGGAGAAGATGTTGGGATGTTTCATTTTAAAATGCATTCTCTATAGCAACATTGTGCAACCTGTATCTCATTTTAAATATACTGAATGATTTTTCACATCAATATATATATATATATATATATCTTAGGGGTGGAACGGTTCACAAAATCCACGGTTCGGTTCGATTCACAGTTTCTGGTCACGGTTTTCGGTTCGGTTCGATACATGTTGATTGTTACACCGAAATCCCATAAAAATTTATGGAATTAATGAAAAAATCCCCCCAAAAATAATGGATCTTAATTATTTTAAATGATCCGCGGAAACCCTGGATCATTTCCGTATGTTTTTCTGCTTTGAATTTAATCATCTCGCGCATGACCTCTACCATCTCCAAGGGACTCAGAGGGGAGCGGACGAAGCCACAGCGGGGGCTGTAGGCTTTGCTTTGCGCAGCCGGTCTGGAGCTGAGCGGGGTGGAGCGCTGACGGAGTATGAGGGATTTTGGGGTTAGCCTGACATGTTGGTCATGTTGCTGTTAGCGTAAACAAAACGTGTTGCACAATGCTTGCACACTGTTGCACTTTTATCCACAACTTTCTTTCCGCCGTCATCGTAGGTCACTCTAAATGCAAAGCGCTCCCATACAGCAGATCTATAAAGTGCTGCTGGCGCGTCTTCCAACTGCTGTTCTTTCCCACTCGCCATTCCGACACAATTCTCCACAACAACTGATTTTTTTCCCTGCTACACCTGGCTAAGCTGCTTTGCTTCTTCTTCTTCTTGTTTACTACTGGTGGTTGGCTTTGGTCGCAGTACCGCCACCTTCTGCTCTGGAGTGTAAACGCTTCGCCTATGAGAAAAAGGAGCAGCGCATGAACCGAACGAAACACACGCAAACCGAACCGAGACAGTCGAACCGAACGGTTCTGACGGTTTTCATAAATCGTCCCATCCCTAATATATATATATATATATATATATATATATATATATCACTTGCTAAGTATCTATGCTCATTGCTGGCTACCCTTCTCAAAAATGTACCCATGTAACTTCATAGTGTAATAGTGATCTTTTGCTGAATAGGTCATGTGACCCAGAACGCAACTTTCAGCAGTCTTAGCTCCCATTAAACCCATGTGCTAACTAAGCCAATGGTTGTTGTTAGCCAACAATTTAGCAGATCAGACATTTTTGATTCTCTGATGTTTGAATCATCTAGAGGAGTTAAAAGTCCGAATTGGTCTGCTATCAGATTCCAAAACGCAAAGGGATTTATCACCACTACAATACATTTAGGCCAAGATATTCCTTTAAAAATGAGCATATTGGTCCTTTAATGCAAATCTGGTCTCCCTCTCACATCGCTGTGTCCAGTGCTTTTCAGAGCAACAGCTGATTACATTAAAAGTCGTCAGAATTACGCTGAAAGTAGGCTAAAATTTAATGGATGTAGTTTCCACTTACACAATGTTTTTAGAAACATTTACCTCCTTATTTGCAGATAGGAGTGAAATCTAGTTTTTTAGACTCTCCCTTTTTCAGACTCTCCCCAGATTTGCTTGCAGGCAGGTAAACACATCTTCTCTTGCCGCCCCTGCAGACAGAGAGAGCAACCTTTGAAAGCAGGGGTGGAGTGTCCAGCTTTGTAAGAATTCCCAAACAGCTTGTCTGTCAAGCTTAACTGGCGGATAGTTAAAAGGTTTTTTCCTTTTTTTCCCCCTACCCAATTTAAAACAGCATGATAGCTAAAGAGGTGGAAAAATAAGAATATAAGGATGCTGAAATGTTTCACTTTAGTATCCCTTAATGCTCATAAGAAATGTTTATGTGGTGGAATATTTTATTTGGTGACAGTGCAGTGCTGACAGTGGCCTTCAGGGGCGCTAATCCTGGAAGTTACAGAATGAGTATTTCACCACCGATTTAACAGCAGAATAACCATCCACCAAAACATGCAGGCTGGGATGGCATTAAAAAATGAACAGCCTAGAGTTACTCTGGAGGAGCTGCAGAGTTTCCTCTGCTTTTTTTCCATTGGGACAGCAAAGCTATGCATAGCAGATGAGGAGATATATATGGAGATAAGTACAAGGTGATCCTTAAAGAATAACATATTCACATTACAGGACCAGATGTGTATCTGAGGTCATGAAACCCACCTTCAACTAATGATTTAAATCTAGATAAATTGAAGTTTAAAAAGTTAATTCTAAACCTAAATCCAAGTGAAAAAAAATATGTGTATAGAAGAGCTCGACAAGGAATTACCTCAACACATAGAAATGCCTGCAAAGGTTAGGTATACATGGTAATTATTTGGAGGCTTGAATAAAAGTACATCTGAAATACACTTTTCAGTTTTCTTTATGTATGTAGAATGTGATTAAAGCTTTGAATCATTTCATAATGATGTCTTTAGTGGTGTTTGGTTGGTCAGATAAAATCTAAATTAAGATGGCTGAAACTGTTTGCAAACTGTGGTTGTAATTTGTTCAAAGGGCGTGGATAGTTACGGGTTAGTGGGTAGAATCTGGACCTGTCAGCTTATTGTTGGAGAAAGTTCTTATTTTTTGATTGCAAATGTATCCTCACACGCTTTGTTTATTTTACACTTGGCACTAGACTACCTTCCATCTGTTTTCTTCAAAGTTCCATATTTATTTTTAATTGAACAGACTCCGGTGGTTCGGGCTTCCTAACATAACAATCTTGAACCACTTTACACTTTCTGATCGTCTCCACAGATTGGTTTGGTTTCTCGGATAATTCACACACATACGTGCGCACACAAATCTGTCTGCACATTCGCACCACTTCATTTTTCCAGAGTGAGAACTTTTGTTTTGGCGGGGGCCGGAGAAGAATGCAGACAAAGCAGACATAATATTTGGATTGCTGCGAGGTCCCTGTATGTGTGTACATATTATATGTGAGTGAGTGCATGCAATAATCCATTGGAGAAGGCTGCTGTATTTTAGGCGTCTCTCCTTCACTGTCAAAATGGACCAGTAATAATAATAATGCTGCAAGCAGAAGGCCCTCAGAATGTGCACTCACATTCTAACACAAATGGTGGCGCTGATGGAGTCCTTATTAGCAACTCCCACTTTAACTGTGTACTTTTCACTCACTAATTCGGTGCTAGAATTATGGCAAAAGAGTAATATAAACTCATATGAGCAGCTTTATTTAAAACACACGCACATAAACCTCTTTCTGCGTGCATTTTGAACAATTAAGCATGAAGCTGAAAGACTAGTCCTCCAATATTTTACAACCATGAGTTCATGCTCCTGTGTGCTCCTTGCTTGCTTTTTATGCCTCTTTAGATTCTCTCCTACTCACTTATGGACCTGTTTTTTCTGTGCTTATGTGCTTTTGTCACTTAGAACCAACCCGAGAAAGATAACTGTGTGGAATTGCCTACTTTTAGGAAATATCTGCCTCTTGAGACTGTACTATCTTCTTCATACAGTAGCAGCCATTCAAAATGGCCCTTCGTCAGCCGAATGGCAGCCCACCTCCCTGCAACTCGCAGCAAAATCCCCTTTCACTGAATTACAGGGTCTTAATGTTAAATAACGCTTCTCTTTAGATATTAATGTCCACAATCAATATCATTAAATTAAGTGACTAAGCAGTAGCAATGTGCTCTGAGATGATTAATGTTATATTTGGAATTTTCTAAGAGCAAAGCTAAACATTTGCTTCCCTGTTTATATTGAGGAAGCTGAACAGGGATATTTGCTATTCTAATCAGTTTGCAACTACTTTTAGATGTTGTTGTTTTTTTTTTATTCCAGCATTATGTCAAAAATGGCTGTTTGATATGAAGTTTGATATGAAGTCAGCATTCTACTGTTGGAGTGAACAGTCTAATGATGCTTATGCTACCAGCCACAAAAAACTACTCATACATTTATAAGTTGTGCAATTTTGGCAGAATTCTGACTTCCTAAGACAGGAACTATAGAAATAAGTAAAAATGTATTAAATTAAGTGTATTTACCCTTAATTTGAGTAGGTAAATAAGATGATTTGCCAATGCAATGGGGATTTTTACTATTAAAATAAGGTCATTAGATAATATACGCTTGAAATAAGACAATTAAATAGTTTTTTCTTATTTTAAATGTAAATTGTCTTGTTCCATTGGCAACGTGTCTACCTCACCCCCTTAATTCAAGAAAAAAATGCACTTATTTTAAGAAAAAAATATATATCTATTAAATTATGGGGTCTATCTATTAAATTATCTAGATGTTGATTTTTTTCCAGTGCATAAGACTGGTTTGGTTTGTCTTCTTTGCAGCTTTGGTTTATTCGCCATCCCTCTGTCTTTCAGTTCTATTAGAATCAGAGTTAATCATCATGTTTTTTCATGAAATGAACCATCAAGTTGCTAAATTAACTGTGTGACCTCTTTTTTTCCAGCAATGTGTCCATCAGACCTCCAGCAACTGTGGAAGGAGGTGTCCGGAGTGCCGACCGCTGAGGACGCCCTTAAACAGGCCGAGGGCCTGGACTTGAGCACCAACAGTTCTAATTCTACCTCAGCCTTCCCCAAAGCTGCCAGTGCTCACATTCCTCTGCACAGCCTGCCCAACGGACAGAGCCACACCCCAAAGAGAGACAGGTCAGGGGTGCTTAAGGGGAATTTATTTTTTTCCAATAGCTGCGCTTTTAGTATTTGCCTTTGTGTGCTCTGATCTTCTCTTTTCTATTTCTCATTCAAACTATCCTACTCCTCTTTTTGGGGGGTGATAATACAGCTGCAGTCAAGCTGACACACTAACATGAATAACATCAAAACAAAAGGAAAACACTAGGGCGTAGATGCATGTTGGGTTCAGTGTGTTCTGACAGTTATACCCTTACAGGAGACAGAAGATCTTAGGAGTATACGCTGCTTTAGGCCATCAGTCAGTATTGTCAGACATTAGAGGGGTTTTTTTTTGTACCACACACACTGCCTGGCTGTGTTGGCCGCTCACAGGCTTGTCTTCATCTTTAAGAGCCAGACTGTTTGAGTGGATATCCTCCTTCACCAAGGCAGACAGCGGAGATGACCATGTCCCCCTTTACTCCAAAGGCAGCCAGCCTCCCAGCAGCCAGTGAGTAACCATCACATATACACACACATGCACACCAGCAGGCAACCACGGAACAGAAAGACGCACTTCTGAAGGGTCAGCTTCAGCACTTTGGCATCAATTTCAGAGAAAACGTTGGCCCTTATGTTTAGAGAGCAGAGATGGCCTATTCAAGGCTTAGAATTGAGACTTGACTTAGACTCAAGGGTTAGGACTTGACTCTCATGAATAATTTCAGCACATGCAATCAGGAGAGAGAGCAAGGCAGTGTGCTAACCACAGGTTTGGAGCCCAAAGACAGTAGCTATGACTAAGTGTTGGTATTAATTTTTTTTTTTTTGCTAAATAACTACCTTTGGAAATAAATATACATTTTTAGATCTAATTAATTCAGAACAGTTTCTAACTTTTTTTGCACATTTGTTTAGAAATGTTAAAGTAGATTATTTAAAGGAGATTTAACTCCTCCGAGCCAATAGGTGGTGCACTTGAGATTGCCAGTTTTTGTATCATAATGTTTGCTAACCTTTGTAAGAATTGGCCTTTTCTCAATATGTGTACT